TCGCGCTCGGTTAGCAAGAGGTTATTTTTTGCCACATACGGACCTTGGCAATCATGGAAGCTTAGACAAACAGCAGCAGGACAAACTGCTATTCAGTTGTTTCATAGTTTATATAACAGGAGATGTAGACATTGACCGTTCTGTTAGGCTTGGGTTTCAGTTTGCGAACTTAGCCGGATATAAAACGCTGAAGAGAGGATAATTAACGAATTAAGAACAAGATTTAGATTTAATAAAATTAGAACAAGACTGAGATTGAGATTGATCTGGACTTCAAACAACCGTGACGAAGTCAAAAATTTAGGCCAAAGTCTAGGAGAAATGAAATGAAAATGAACCTTATGTAATAAAGCTTCTTCCAAGTGAATGGCTGATCCTGTTTGCAGTGGAGATGTTGTTAATCGTCGAAGAGTCATTACCTTTGAACTGGAGTGCCATTCTGCAGATCCATCGCCTTCATCCACATCCTCTGCGTCAGGGGGNTCGCGTGCCGTGCTGTCACGACCTCGTGCCAATATTCCCCAGTACGGCCGTCGCGCTCGGTTAGCAAGAGGTTATTTTTTGCCACATACGGACCTTGGCAATCATGGAAGCTTAGACAAACAGCAGCAGGACAAACTGCTATTCAGTTGTTTCATAGTTTATATAACAGGAGATGTAGACATTGACCGTTCTGTTAGGCTTGGGTTTCAGTTTGCGAACTTAGCCGGATATAAAACGCTGAAGAGAGGATAATTAACGAATTAAGAACAAGATTTAGATTTAATAACATTAGAACAAGACTGAGATTGAGATTGATCTGGATTTCAAACGACCGTGACGAAGTCAAAAATTTAGGCCAAAGTCTAGGAGAAAAATGAACCTTATGTAATAAAGCTTCTTCCAAGTGAATGGCTGATCCTGTTTGCAATGGAGATGTTGTTAATCGTCGAAGGGTCGTTACCTTTGAACTGGAGTGCCATTCTGCAGATCCATCGCCTTCATCCACATCCTCTGCGTCAAGGGGCACCTCTACCAACACATCCATACTGATGCAGCCACGACAAAGAGGGCAGCGAGGGTTCGCCTCCGACGTCTTGATCACATCCTCTATACACCTCCGGCAGAACACGTGAGCGCAGTGCGTTATCACTGGGACAGAGAGTGAATCCAGGCAAACAGGGCACTCCTCGTCCGCTCCTGAACTCAGAAGGGTGACAAGGGTAGATACAAGCTTCTGACGGAGTTCTTCTGGGGTAGAACAGCCTTAAAAATGTGTCAAACCAGAATGGAACTATGAATACAGAATTTCACATACTGTAATAAAAATAGACAATGCTGTAATGATATTCTATCCTATAAGCCACGTTCCACTGGCAAACTTCTCAAGATCCACGCTGCCCTGCCGTCCTATACTAGTGAATCGAAGTTTAAACACAATACAGTATTACTGCCTTTCTCTTTCTTTGGGTAAAGAGAGAAGCACTGTGAGAGGAAGCGTCGATGAAAATACACTATGGCCCTGGCCAGGTCTCGAACCCGGACTGCTCTATCCGGAGTATACTGCACTAAACATTACACCAGCTTGCCTACTTTTGACGCGCCAATGATATCCTATGTGCCAAAACTTAAACTCTGAATCCTTCAAAACCTTGACTGACGACAGCTTTAAAGGAGCTTCGTCAAGATTTGCCCATGTTGAAAGGTGTAGCCTACATTTTTCAAGTTCGTCGTTTATAATTCATGTTAATCTTCTCAATCCTTGATCATCCTTGTTCCTTTATCGTTCATTATTATATAACACTTTGCTGTTTTTCTATCACAGAAACTTCTATTTTCAGGTTTCCTTCAATTTAAAGGTAGTTTTGCACGTAGCCAAAATAATTCAAAATATCGTGACTGAGCTCCTTTAAGGCAAACCTTGTGTTGGCGTTTGAACTTTAATCTCAGTGATTACCGTTCTAAGAGAAGTATTCACATTTACACAACGTTTACTTTCAGTTGAAGACAAGGCTGACGCTGCTGCACAGAGCTTAGGATGACAACACAGCTGTCTGAGCCGCATCAGAATTGCCAAGACATCGGCGTAATTATGGAGAATGCTGCCAGTCTTGAAATATCTGAAAAAAGGGACGTACATGCTCAGTTACCTTGTGCCTCTGTTTCAAAACGAGTCTTCGTGCAAAACACTTCATATGAAAATGAGTTTGATTAACGTGAAAAAGAGCCAGTAGGGGGAACTCATTTTCATATGAATGAGTAGTTTTATATGAAGACTCGTTTTGACACAGAGGCAAAAGGAAACTCGGAAACTGTCTATTAATATCATCGCAGTTGTGAAATTTCTCTTTCAACTGGTTCTCGCAATTTTCTTACTAAACTCTGTTTTGATTCCCTCCAAGAACACCTATTACTCTCTAAAACAACAAGGTTTCTGTTCCAATAAATGTCGAGGTCTTACAGTTTGACCTTTGAAAAAGGTGACTTTTGAGTTGGAAATGACCTTACGAAGGTCTGCATTTAAGTAGCAGTTACTTGCCTAGTTCCAAGGCCTCGAAACTTCGCCTTGGTCAATCGTTTTCATGGGTCACGTGGTCAGAGGCGAAAAGCGTGAACTCCCTGTCGTTCGACTCGGATACGTCACTGAAATCAATTGAGCGTGAAGACCTGGGAGAAAGCCGTACAGGAACTAGGCGACGCTGTCACAGCGCTATGAAGGATAATACAATGTCTAAATCCAAGATATATAAAAGATCACTACAATGGATTCTCTTCTGCTCACTGCCCAGGAAATATCTGTCCTAAGCGCATATCCAGGCTAAAAGCTTGGCAAGTGTTTCCTGTTTTGCCGTGGAGTTGTGCAGCTTTCTCTTCGTAAAAGGTAGCCCAACATAAAACAAAAACACAAAACAACACGACAGCAACTTACTTGCCAATGACAAGTTTTCCCTCTTTAGCCATGGAATCGTACAGCTTCCTCTCTTCAAGGGACAGCTCAACAGGCTGCACATAAACCTGTCTATCCGGTAATTCCACCAGTGGTTTACCATCCACTTGTTGTGTCTTGGTACGCCTCATTGCAATACTTCCCATTAGTACCTGCAAACGACTGCAAGGAAATGGCACGCCGGTGCATTACCTGTTAATACTATGTAGTGGTTTGAAATATTCTACCATTAAACGTAATTTTGTGTTCCCGTTTGAGCCGAGTGAGCTCTTGTCAAAAAGCTCTTGCGAGGGTCTCTAACGGTAACCAACAAAAAAGTAACCAATCGCGAATTGACTTACACAAGCGTTTTCCCGCGCTAAGAACCGGTTGCATGTTTTTGCTTCGTGCACTCGCTCATTGCGTTTATTATCTGTGTTGGGATTGGTCACTGAGATGCGACAACTTCAGCTTTGGTTTCACAAAATTAAAGCCATAAGAAAATGCTCTAAACTTTGCAAGAAAAACTCTCAGGTTCCTTCGATTTGAAGAAAATCTTTGACACGGGAAAGAAGACTTGACACATAGTGTAACGGTAAAACACCAGGTCAAAAGCCAATAAACCATTCCTCGCAACAGGGGCAGNTTTTTTTTTTTTTTTTTTGCTATTTCTTTGACTCTTCATAAAGATAATAAAATAGGAAAGAAAACGGTCATGTGTATTTCGCGACTGCATTATTGTATTTGGTTTTCTGGTTGAGAAATAGGGTAACCTCCAAACTCATGCCTTCACAAACGTTTTTCAAGTGTCAGGAATACTACAAATGGCGTTTTAGAGGGTAAATAGAAAAATATTCTGGGCCAGCAAGGCCCCGGACCCCCTAGAATCTTGTGCCAGCGGTGCTCGCCATCCATCCAATGGCGTGGAAAGCTATTAAGGTGTACAACCCCTTCCCCCTTTCAGGAATTCCTGCATCCGCCCCTGCGCAATATCCTCCAGACGGAAATAATTTACCCATACCTGAGCGCACTCTGATCACCTTCACTGATCGGACGTTCCATTGTTCTTCTCCACCACTGCCTATCAGTGAACGGCTCCAGTTTTAAAAAGCTTATGATAGAGAACATGTCCTTCATGGAGTTCTGGATCGGCGTGCCTGTCACCACCCATCTCCGTTCAGATTTCAGTGCATGGACAGCTTTAGACGTCATGGCATTAGGATTCCTGATCACATGGCCTTCGTCAAGGACGACTCTTAGCCATTGGGTATTTGCAAGAGGAGATTTTCCCTGTAGAAGAATTAAGTAACGTGGTATAAGAAAAGCAGTGGTCGTCAAGGAGTTACCATAGCACTTGCGAGAACCTTAATCTCTGGCAATTTATATAGGGTCGTGCCTCAGAGAAAGCCACAGAGAACAGTTTCAAAAGTTCAGCCTAACATTTCCCTAGTAAAAGTAAGCTCTCCCTGAACAAGCAAATTTAAAAATGACATAAGTTTTAATATAGTAACGATTTCCAAACCAAGTCAGTGCTGCTAAATTTCAACTTCCCTGAACTTTACTGACTCAAAGTAAAAACCCTCACTTTTCTCTGCTAAGTAACCTGAAGACACTTTGCTCTACTGTACTTCTCATAAGCACTCAGGAGTACAAATCGAATCGTTGTTGCAGAAACTAAAGACTGGGAGGAAACCAGTCATGGCATAGCATCCTATGCAAGGGAAGTAGCAAACTTCTTATTGCTTCATCCAGTAAGAACTGAATTAACAGCTGCAGTTCTGGCCTTGGGCTAGGGGGTAGGGGGGGACTCCCATGTGAAAAGGTTGAGGGCGCTCGTTGGAATCTTTGAATTAAGTCCCTAAAGGAGACCAATCTGGGCGTGGCTCAAGCTTTATTTGACATCAAAAGACACCAGCTTGTTTTTACTATTTCTACAAGTGAAACCCTTGAAGATACCTTGCCGACCTAAAGTAGTGGTGTCTCCTCCCAAACACCCTATTTGAGGTGGGATCAAAATCAAAGATTTACACCCCTAAGCGAGACAACCAGAATCCCTGACCTTTTCACATGGGAATCCTCCCACAGGAGTTCTGGGCTACTAGGGAAGTGAAGACATGTCACCTTCATCAAAAATAAAGAACGATTTTATTTTTTTTGGATGTGTCAGTTTGAATTCTTTTTGTAAGTGCACAGCATGACATACCTTGGAGAACTCGGAAGACAATGTCTGGTAAGTGGTTAGAACAACATCCTGTTCAGCCAGTAAGTTCTGATCCTTTGTACGCTCAGAGCCATAGTACGTGTAGACACTTAACAGCCCATCATGAACGTGAGCATCAAATTGATCCTGTAGATTAAGATGTTTGTATTAGTCTTGCAAGAGGAAGGAAGAAAGAAACAACAAGGAAAGCTACATTCACACACTTTTCAATGGGGGGAAAGGAAACATGTGAGGTAGATTCAAAATGGCAATGAATGCCTAATGGTTCAGGAAGATAAGCAATCATGGCCTCTACACAGACTCAACAGAAGGGTCCACAACAAGGAAAATAGGCATCTCTGCACACAAGCTAAACCCATCAAGCTGGATGGTCAAGAATCAGAACACTAATAGCTCATTGATAGTCTTAATACCTTCCCTTGCCACCTAGTAACTTGTACAAAGAGCTACAACAGGGCTTGAAAAAAGTGCCATCCAGTTGTCTGGGACAAGTAGATTTTCTTTCAGGGCAAGTGACTTTTCATTCTCACTTACCCAATGGGAAAGGGCCCTGGCAAGTCGTCTGCCAACTAAGTAAGTTATACTTGCCCAGGGCAAGCAAAATTTGAAAGATGCTGGTCCAAAGGGCAAGCTGCAATTCAATTTTTTTTTTTTTTCGAGCCCTGGGCAACTACAAACCCACTGCTTGCATACACAGCTTGCTTGTGGTGCTACTTCATGTAGGTAAATGACTCAGTATCATAAGGCTGCAACGTATGAGAGTATGTGGCAACTTGGAATACTACAAACTGTACTATCTGTGCGTATTGCATGCCTATCATGTTAGGTAATCATAATTGATTTAATATGTACCTGCCAGTTGCTTAGAACAGACAGTGGGCAGATGACCAAAGTTGGTCTTGGTCCAAGATGAGCAGTCCTTTCTCTGCTTGACTGTGGAGGCAATGTAACATGTGGCACAGCTGGGCACTCTGCAACAGCACTACCTGCACTTGAAGCTAAAATAGGAAAAAGAAGATGCAAGAATTACATGTAGTATCAAGGTCTTTTCCTTTTTTAGTTCATGAACAGGCAAAAAGTAAAAAAAATAATCATTGTATTTTAAGTATTTGTGTGGAAATTAAGGGAAAAGAGGCACTGTTCACAGTCTTTAAAACCACTTGCTGTGTGTTGGAAACATGAACTACTCTGAAAACTGAAAATTAATATTTCTCAATGAAAGCGGTTTTTAGAAGCTATACTGAAAAATTCAGACTCAAGCAGTCATAATAAAAATTTCTCCAAAAAGTCACACAGTGGCAAAAGTCAGCAACAGTTCATCTAGTGGTCATGAATATTTTCTTAATACACCACCTGATTCATTAGTAAAATGTACATGGCAATCAAGTAAAAATACAGATTAGTAAGTTGAGAAGTCTGCAACATGTCGCAAGTGAATTATGTCAACCATGCACAAACCTGCTGGTACAGGTAGCTCCTTAGCAACATCATCTTTAGGGAGACAAGGTAAGGGAGGTTTGGCAGTTGGTCCATCGTCAGTTAGATCCACATTAATGACTGAACTTGGCTCATGTTTACCTGTTACACAACATTTTAAAAATGCAAAGTCAAGCTACGTCTAAAACCAACACTTGAATTCCAGCTTGCCCTTGGGACAAGTAGCTCTCAAACTTTGCTTGCCCTGGGCAAGTCTAAGTTTGCTCTCTTAATGATTTAGTTGGCAGATGACTTGCCTGATCCCTTGCCCACCAGGTAACTAAGAATAAAACATTACTTGCCCAAAAGGAAAATATACTTGTCCCAGATGACTGGATGGCACTTTCTTTGAGCCCTGACTTGATCCTAAGATCAACTTTAGTAGATAAGTCCTCAAGGTTTTGAGGTTAAGTTCTACATTCAAATTTAAAACTATTATAAAGCCCTGACAAACAGGACAACAAAATGTGTTCATCCAATACAGCATTCATACAAATTTACACAATCAAGCCTCAAAAGGCACAACCTGATCACATGCAAGTCAAAAGTTCATTGATGACAAAACATTGTTTCCCTAGGGGTAAACATAGTTTCACTTATCTAGAGCATTGTAGTGTTAAGGTATGACATAATGTTCTGATAATGATAACCTTTCATCTAATCAGGCAAATAAAGTTTTTCAGTTGGAGCATAATTTTAACAATCAATATGTACATATTTTTCTTTTAACAACCCACCTATTTCCTCTTTCTTCTTCTTCTTGCTTTTCCTCTTCTCCTTGGACTCCTTTTTAGCTGTTTTAGGCTTCATGCTCTTATGTTCTTTGACATTAGTACTGGTGGATTCATTATCTTCCACCAGTGCTGCCCTCTTTGAAACTTTGGCTTTCTTGGTTGGACAAGGATCTATGACCTTGTCTGTCTCATTGTCACTATCCTTAGCAACCAGTTCAGTATCACTGCCATCTTCTTCACTAAGCACTTCAGCTTCAATATACCGCACTGGTCTCTTGGTTGACCTATACAAAAATGTATAGGAAAAAAAGATTTCTGATCAGTACCACATCATCAAAGAAATTTACTGACAAGCTGACGCAGTTCCACCTACAATGTAAGTTTACCAACTCCTTCATTTGGACACTTTCTGAGAAAATCATTTTTCAACAAAAATAAGTTAAGCTAGGGTGATTTTTTTTTTTCATTTAACACACTTGGCTTGCTGGCACTAACTCACACAATCCCTTTCATGCCCTTATTTGGGCACATGATCAGAGGCAATTGGTCTTTCCTAGATATCTTACCAAATTTCAATCTATTACGAACATTAGAACTCACGCTTTTTGAACCCTTATTTCCGAGAATTTACGGCCACCATTAATTTTACACGTCCAAGTCTTGGGTGAGAATTTGAGAACATTATGTCATATTTTTTTCCTCAAAAATACCACACGGGTGGAAATTATAATTAACAATTAGTACTGCAATTTGCATAAAGAATAACAAATTAACTTTGCTCTCATATTCATGCAATTTAGTACACTAATTGTTATTATAATTTCAAACCATGCAGTATTTTTGAGAAAATGACTTCATTTTCTCAAATTCTCAACCAAGACTTTGAACAAGGAAAATTATTGGTGGCCATAAATTTTCAGAAATAAAGGTCCAAAAGACACGGGTTCTAATGTGGGTAATACTGTAGATTGAAATTTGGCAAGATAGCTAGGAAAGACCTATTGTGTACGAAAATGTGCAAAAATTGATATCAAGAATTTGATCATATGGACACTTTAAGGGTCAAACATGATATCAGTGAAGTGATCAATATCTTAACTAGTGAGGATATGGAAAATACACCACCTAAGTCCTGGATGTGCTTTCCTATGAATTTTATGAGTGGTGTATTTTCCAGTAAAATGTGTACTCAAGTCTATATAATAATAATTATAAATTAACATCACCTTGAGGATCTTCTGACAGGTTGAGAGGCTGCAGCCTTCTTGATGGAATCTATGTCAGGACTGAAGTTTGGATCCTCTTTTGCAGTCATACTAAATGATACATCACCAGAAAATTCTTCATCTTCTTCTTCGTCATTGTCGTCATCTGATTCATTTTCATCCTCATCATCAGCCTGGATGATCTCACCTTCATCATCATTCAAGAAGTCCTCCTTTTTTCTTTGGCTTTGTTTGGTTCTTTGGTTTGTACATCTTGATCGCTTAGTCCTCTGCTACAAGAAAGGAAGGCATAACATTTCAATCTTTCATAATTTCTCAAGGCAATGGAATACAGTTGTAACTCTGAGACAGTGTGTTAAAGGGGTTATGCATGATCTGTACTTCATTGGAACAAAATTTAAAGTGAGAGCATGATAAGAGAACAGCTCAGATCAAAGAATTATCCAAAATGGTATCATATAAAATTTTAAGTACCATTAGTAAAAAAGTAAAGTCTGCATACAAACCAAGTGGCCAATCAGGTCAGAACTTATCTTGGTTTTAGTAACATGAAGCGACTAGGTGTATTTCAGAAATCCTCCCTGGATGGGATGCTAGTCTATCGTAGGGTCACGCCCAGCATTAAATATGCCAGTACCCATTTGCACACCTGGGTGGAGAGAGTAAAGCATCTATTATTGCCCAAGAGCACAACACGATGTCCCCAACCAGGGCTCGAACCCAGACTGCTTGATCTGGAGATGTCTACTGTGCCTATATTTCAGAATAAATGCCACACAAATAGTTCAATTAGATGCTACTGTAATAACCTTTGATACATTTGTTCTTTGAGTTTTCCTATCTGCCAGACTAACCAATGGCTTTCCACAGTAGAAATTTGTAACAATGAGTGAAATAACTTCCAGCGTCTTTCCAAGGCCCATATCGTCAGCAAGAACCCCTCCAAGCACACAACTAGGTCGTGTAGTTGTTGCAAAATTAGTAGCTGAGTTGAAGTATCCTTTCCTGCCGTTGATGGTTTCATCTTTCCAAAATGGTGGAAGTTCTTTTGAGTTTTCCCTTGCGATCATCCAGGCAAGAGCTTGCTTCTGATGGGGGAATAGCACAGTTTTTATGGCCTAAAAGGAAATTCAGCAGCTGTTAGTCATATTTTGCAGGGGTTTCATTAAGGGCTGGGCACCGAACAAATTGACTGGCTGTGAGGATGATAATTTGCCTGTCTGGTTTGACCATCTACAGGAAAGTTTTTCTTACATGACTGTATAAAGAAGTCAGTTCAAAAAGTTTTGCCCGCCTGTGAAAAACAGTTGCCCTCTTGCTGAAAACATATTAAATGAAACCCCTGACTAAGTATTTTTTTAATATAATGAGTATTATCATATGGTCAGTACCCAATGGCATGTACATACAAGACATCCTTGTGAGACATGGTACACTACAGTATGAAAGACAAGGTTCTGAGTGATGCCTATAATAGATATAGATATCTCAGTCTATAATCAAGAGCAGGGCACAAAAAATAAAATTGGGTTTTTCAGGGGCAAGCTATAACTATGAAGCATAGCATAGCAACTATGAAGCAAATTGTTCTCACAAGCTTCCCCAAAATTCATCTCTTACAGTACCTCGTGATTCAATTTCCTCAAAACATTTTCCCAAGAAACTTGACATGCCCATCAAGCAAGGATGACACTGAGAATTCACTAGCCTGACAGCAAAATCCACTAGCCCCAAGTTATCAGACTTTCTTTGCACATTGTAGAGTGGTTTCAATTTAAATATAGNAGTTGGGCAGGCCAGTCGGGTGTTCTAGTGCCTTGGGGATGTGACTGCAGTTGCAGCCCCCGGGCTTCGTAGGCACCTTCCCTCCACTAGCGACTTGGGCGTTAACCAAAACCAAAGTTATCATTGTGGCCAGTCACAAAGGGCACAGACAATCCAGTGAAGCAATCATCACTCAAGAGGAAACACATGTAGTTGATGTGAAGTGCAATTTTTTTTTTACAGCATGTGCCAGTGAGTCATTGTTACTTCTGGATTGATGACAAAGTAGTATGAGTCTTAAGCCGATTGCTTAGTGTTAAGTACTGCAAAACCAAAGCAAATTATTTTCAACACTCTAGTGAAAACCACTCTGACTAATACTTGATGCATTAATAATGAATTACAATAAGAATTCTTCCAGCCTGATTCACAAACCTCAGCAGGTTCAATAGTTGCCATCTTGTTCTGCCCAAGTTTCTCAAATAGCTTGTCCAACTCCATTGTCATCTAAAAGAGACCATAGCTATTGTGTTAATCCAGTCACCCAAAAAGATACACTGTGAAAATTACTACAAGTCTTGCTCTCCTTTCCAGAGAGTAAATATAATGGCTTTCACCTTATCTTAGTAGATGAAAGGAAATCTAATGTGCAGTAATCCAAGCATGCAAATAACAGTCGGTCATCGGACAATTGTCTGGTAAATTTGAGGTTTTGACAGGTAAAAGCTTAGCCTGGTCGGACACTCTGACCGGGCATTTCTGCTAAAATGAAAAATATTTGAACTGGAAATTTGTGGCCGAATATGGGACAAGTTATTTTGTTATACTGCCACAAAATACTATGCAAAAAAGTTTTGTTATCGGTTTTGTTTTTATTCCAATTCTAAGAATTTTATCATGCGTAGTGCGTCGTCTCAAATGTTATAATTATGTCGAATTGTAAACACANGGAAATGCTTGTGTGACTAGGGGTATAAACGTTTGTAAATTTGTCAATTTTCAACAGGTAAAATAATACCAGAAGTAATGTAAAGGTCCCCTTGCTGGTACTGGTAGCGATTTTACACCCAGTTGACTTATAAGCTTTTCGAATCTACAACCAATATTTTGGCGAAGTGTCTACACTAAAATACCAAAATGTCTCAAATGTCTCTTTTTAATTTCTAATGACAAACAATTCTTTTTGTCCGACCAGACTGGCTTTTTGTCAGGTCAAAACTGGTCCTTGTCCTGACAAATGACCTGCCTATAGACAAAAATTATTTGCAGGCTTGGTAATCCCAACCAATATAACAGTAAAAGGCAATTGTGAAATGGTACCAAGCCAAGTTTGGGCAAGTGAAGCTCTAAAATCAGTGTAACCAAAAACCACCTGGAACAAGACTGAAGGCACAATCTATTTGACCATTAAAACCTAAATGTCTTAAGATATGTACACTGAAATATTTCATTATTCAATGTACATCTACAGCATAGTACATAGCCATACAAACAGGTAAAATGAACCAAATCATGTACTGTAATTGGCTATCCAAGAGGTGACGATGTAGCTATCATGCCTGCTTAAGATAACCTGCTGAGCTCTACAAGAAAACCTTTATGCCATATGGATAATTGCATTGATCAAACTTAATTTGTCAGAGATGGATAGATATTGGCCTTTGAGTGATCTGTTTTTACGTGTTTAAGGACCTTGACTTAGTGCCAGAGTTCATAAAGATGCCAATATAACAAAAAGAACTTCATCAATATCCAGTCATCTTGATCTAAAAAAAAATGTCCATAATCCATTATATACCTTATCATATGAAATCCTAACAGAAGGAGGTCTACCAAGACCCATCACTGAGCGTGAGTTATTAGGTCCAGATGCACCACTTTTTTGTGGAATTGGCTCCCTAAATGTTCTCAAAATGTACCCATGCCGACGCATCCTCTGAAGAACTTCTTGTTCATTTTCCGGCCTACCCCAAAATGTTATATCACAAGGCATGGTATAGATGTTATTTTTTCCAAATGGAACAACACTATGGAGAAAAAAGTGTTCAAATAAGATTGCAGTCATCTGGCAATATCTGTGCATGGGTCATATTATATAAGAACCTGGTTTACGATCTTATCAACATGGGTCCTTTCGGAGTTTCCATTATCTGGGCAAACATTCCAGAAATTACCATCCAAAGTCAAATGGAGAGGTCTGTTTCAGTTCGGACCTGTCAGATCCAAATTTGCCGTTTCATTTTGACAAACCGGTTTGTTACACTTCTTCCTATGTGGAGGATTGGGGAAATGAATGGAAAATGGTAAGTGTCTTTTCTCTTGGTTGGTCCCATTTGAACACAACATATCACTTCAACATTTCCTTGGTTAGTCCCACTGGTATCTGTCCAGGCAGTCTCGCATAATGGAAAGCACCCCATGAGTCTCAGTGTTCTTGGGTACGACTTTCGCAGGAGCCTGAGAAATGCTGTCGTCTGTGTACAAGTAATTCATCGTACATCCACTTTTTCACCGATTTCACTTTAAGCCAAGTCAATATTCCAATCACAGTGGAACTCCGTTAATCCGGTCACCAACAAGCCACAAACCACAAAAATCTGGCCATATCATCAAGGTGGCTGTATTAAGCGGTTTCTTTGAACAGGAAAATGACTGACTGAGCTTTTGCTCAGGCCAGAATAAAGTGGCCGTAACATATCGAGGTGGCCGAAAGGCGGGCTTCCACTGCATCAATATTATTTTCCCCGGGTAATCTGATCTCTAACGTAGTTTATGTAAATCTTTCACTCGTCACTGGTCAGGAAAAGTGAAGTCGCGCACACCAATTCAAGATCTATGCATGATGACTGACCGACATCTGACCGACACAAACTCAGTCAACAAGTATTTATGCTACTTAAGGCTGGCAGAAAATCTGCTTAAGCTGAAAATCAAATAATGGAAACGCCTGCGAGTAATACAAGTGACGTAAGCTTGTAAGGCATCTTTTTTTTATTTTAGCACACTGGCGAGTTCAGAACAGATGCAACATCAAGATCTCCAGGCATTGCAAAACTTACCCCTCTAATCTCGCCAATCTGTTGTCCATCACATCGGCCAGGGCTCGGGCTAACTCTCGCTTTATATGCCCCACCTGTATCCCGTACACGTTGTCTACACGAACAGCGTTTCTATCGTACGGATTGTGCGGTTCACGTGTCAGTGATACCATCTCGTTGTAGTTCACCGTGCCACGGTAGTAGCGAATACCTACAATATCGCCTCGGTAGCTACCAATACATACTTCATGGTCCAATTCATCGTCTGAGTCCGAAATATCGAAGAAATTCGACCTCATTGTGTCTTATAAAAGGACCAAAGCGAACGAAGAAGTGCTTGTAACACCAAACAAAACCCTCGTTCACCAGATGACAAAGTGCGATTTTGGCGCCTGTGTTTTCAAACGAGTGTCATGTTACCTTATGGTGCGCGAAGACTGGTGAGCAACCGTGGCTGGATCCCAGCTTTCTGCGGCTCCCTCTGTGAAGATTAAGGCCGCGCGTTGTTCGAAAGGTGGATTTAAACGCTATCCACAAACCACACTACCCAACGGTTTGTTTTGTTAACGCATATTCACAAGATAACAATTTATCCGGTGGGTAGCGTTATCCAGCCTTTGTACAACTGGGGCCAGGCTTTTTATGTCTGCTAATATGCAGTGCTCGATTTAATTCCCCAAGTTGGGAGCTAACCAGCTAGAGGCTAAGCGACTTACATCGCATCAGCACCCCTAAGAGGAAGGAGCAAAGGCTTCAGGGCTCGTAACTTGAAGACTGGACCATTTTACTTTTGGGTGGATGGGTGGGTGATTTTGAAAACAAAAAATGCCCTGCAAGCATACTTGTACCATAAAAAAAAAAACGTGCACACGACCCCTGGTGAAAAATATATCATGCATATACACGTGCCAAGAAAAAAAATATTCCTGGTGCATGAAAGGGTTTTAGAAAAAGAAAATTCTTGCCTGTACCAAATCAACCGCCACCCCTCAAAAGTCACATGGTCCGCTACTAAACCAATACGAACATAAGTATCCAAGAAGACAATTAGTAGTGTTTAAGAACATTGTTTTATTGACCAGGAGGGCACAACAGTGCCACCTATGTACCTATGTTTAATGTCCGTCATACATAAAATATTAAGAGCCAATTTAGGTCAATATACAAAGCTGACGCCAAACACTAGCGATGACAGAAAAAAACAGCAGATGTCAAACCCCACTAAGCCAAATCTTTAAATACAAGTGTTCTTTTTTTTTTTCTATTTCCGTCTAAAACTAGTATATGCATGTCGGATTTGGTATCTGCAATCTCTTCCACGGTGAACAGGCACAAAAACAAACAAAAAATAACTGTCAATTTTCGTTTAAAACACGACATATTTTTTGACATATCCGGGGGGGTTTCACACCGCACTGGTCGGTACGATATGATGATCACTGATTTTTTTGTTTTGATACTTTTGCATTTTTTTTTTCTTCTTCGTTTTAGCAAAGCATTGTTATTGTATTTGGAAGCTGAATTAGTGATTAGACTTCTTAGATAAGATCGGCCACATTCATTGGCATTTCCTCGATCTGTGTGTTGTAGAATGTTTCAATGTCCTTTAATGTTCGAACGTCGTCGTTGGTCACAAAGTTGATGGCCACGCCTTTACGACCAAACCGACCACCACGACCAATCCTGTAAATAGAAGAATTGAAAATGATTAGCAATGGCTCCCTGGGTTAAAAGATCTGAAATTAACTGGGGAAGGAAGTCACACAGGCAAGAAACGCAACAAGATGTATGCTCACTGCACCATGCCAATGTTTATTTTGTTCTTTCGCTAGTTTTTGACAATATATGCAGACAGCAAACAAAGAAAGTAGA